TATATATATATATATATATATATATAGGGTGATGTTTAATAGAGAACCGTTATCAACAAGGAACTAATGAACCAATCGTGAGCATCGGAAATTATAATGATCAACAGCCAAAGGTATTGATGTACACTTGTACAATTAGACGCACATATACCGTATAATATCATAAAACTCACATCTTTACCTATAACTCACCTCTTTTTTTTTGTTTAAATATTTTTTAGGCTACATTTTTTATCGAAAAAAAACCCCAATATACCGTTGTTCATGATTTTTTATTTTGTTTCCATAGAGATCCATGTTGATATTTAAAAAACAATTTTTTTTTTCGAAAAAAAAACCTACTTGATTTTGTTGTTTTTTTTTCTATATTTAATTTTATTTTAAAAAAAAACTAATTATATAAAAAATCACAATTTTCTATCATCTATTAATAAACATCAACATCAATTAAAAAAAAATAAAAAACTCGATCAATTCAGATTGACACCGTGACTGTAAATATTTTATTTTTAACATATACAATGTGAATCTGATTTACTATTCCAACTCTTTGATTAGTCACAAATTAAGTAAAATTACATATGAATCGAAATATATTTCCATGTAGTTTTATAATATTTTAACATTTTGATTACTCGTAAATTAGTTTGTAAAATCAATAAATTAATTTATTCACATTGTGAATCTAAACTGTATATAATTTACTTTTGAGAATTCACAATATGAATCTGATTACTATTATTTCTACTGTGAATCTGAGCAGATTCACAATGTAAATCTAAAATGGAAATTTAATTTTTTTTAACATCAATATTAATCTATGTTTAAAGAGTATCAAAAAATATGAATTTTGATATATTTATTAATTTTTTTCGATAAAGAATAGACCGTAACTTTTTAAAAAACAAAGAAAATGAAGTGGATTTTTTTGAAAAAAAAATTCATTTTTATATATTAATATGGATCGTTTTGGAAAGATGACACAAAATCATAAACAACAATATATTTTGTTTTTTTTCGATAAAAAACATGACAAAAAAAATTAAACTAAAAAAAAGGAAGTTAGTTTTTGTTATAATCTGGTGCTTGTGCGTAAATTGTAAAAGTCTACAATCATTCGTTTTGCTGTTGATCGCTTTAAATTTCGTCGTTTTGGATTTGTTTATTGGTTCGTTAATTAATAAAGGTTTTCTATTGAACTTTTCCATATATATATATATATATATATATATATATNNNACTTTATTCATTATATCCTTTGTATTTATGTAAATATATTCTTAAAAAATATATATAATGCTCACAACTTTTATATTAAATATATATTTTTTTTAAACCCAAAAAGTACACGAATATCACACCTAACATGAAATATTATAGAAGAATAAATTTAGATTTAATTTTCAAAGTTTGTTTAATATTAAAGATTTAACGGCATATATGATGAGTTCAATCATATTTATATTTTAAAGAAAGACTAATATATCGTTTATGTTTTGAAAAGATATGGAATTTTTGGTTTATAATGATATTTCCTATTTCCTTTATGTATGCAGAGATCTAGAGATGAAAATATTTTGTTTTTGTTATTGTTTTGTTTTGAAATGTAAACCTTTTTTGTTATTTTTATGATGATTGTCTTCCTCTGATTTTTTTATTCAACATGAAAGAAAAATTAATATGATTAGAAACTTATGTGATGGTGTTTAAAATATGTCATAAGAAGGCGTAAATATTTAGTTTTTCAAGAAAATTGTGAGTGAGGCCAGTTGGGTCATTGTGGGTCTATACCCATGTGTTTTATCATTCAACAATTTGTTATTTTTAGTTAGAAATAAATCATATATCTACGTAATTATTTTAATTACTAAGTAATATGACGTTTTATATAACTTTTTTAATATCAGTAATACTTATGAGTAAATTTGGAAGATATTATTAATTCATGTTCAAAATGAATACAACTAAGTATTATTTTTATTAAATAATATTTTTATTATAACTCTAGGTCATGAACACTAAAAAGAAGAGTAAATTACACGAATGATCCCTATGGTTTAGGGTAAGTTGCGTGTTTGGTCCCTAACTTATTTTTTTTTAACTAGGTCTTTACTGTTTGTCTTTGTTACGTGTTTGGTCCCTACCTTACCTAAAAAGACTATTTTTCCATTGATTTTTTAATTTATTTAAATAAACACATCCCAACCCCACCCCCTCACTTTACCGTACCTATACCACCATTTTTTTCCTATTTAAATAATAGTCTTTTTAGGTAAGATAGGACTAAGCGCGTAACAGAAACAAATAGTAGGGACCAAGCGCTAACAAAAACAAATGGTAGAGACCTTCCGAGTTAAAAAAATAAGTTAGAAAGCAAACGCGCAAATTACCCAAACCATAGGAACCATTCATATAATTTACTGTAAAAGAATAGAAATCAAATATTCTCATACTTCTTTTCTCCTATCATCTTGTACACTCACAATTATGACATTTGTTATATTTTATAAAATTAAAAAAAAATTATTTGTTATATTTAATAAAGTTAAAAAAAGTTTATTACATTGTCATGCGTCTAAAAGTGAAGTGATACGAAGATACGTTGAAAAAATAAGTAGAATAATATTTAGTTTATTAAAAAATATGTCTAACTAAGTATTTTTTTTTCTAATATATTTATCTTTCACTTTTAATGTTTCATCTAATATAATAAATGTATTATGAATAACTTTGACTAAATATTTAATTTTGGTTGAACTATACAACAAAATAGTGTTAGTTACATACGTAATTATAAAAAAAGTAATAATATTTTTCTTATTTAGTAGATTATGGGATTGTTTGATTAATCGGTTGTTTAACTATGAAATATATATATATATATATATATATATATATATATATA